AAAGCATTGAATCCGATTAAAAGATTGTAAGGAAATGTGGAATGAGAGGCAACGCCATGTGAAATTCAATTCAACACTAATAAAATCCAAATTTAATGTATGATGAAAAATGCAACCCCACCCCCACCCACACCCCACCAAGTAGAATCTCTCTCTCACTCACATTATTATTCCCTTTATTCACTCCACCCTCGTTTTATGTTACGCTCCCCTTCCCCTATAAATTCCCCCTTTTCAACCCACATCACATTCTGCACAGAACGAAATATCACTGAGATCTGAAATAGAGAGAGAGTGTGTGTGTGTGTGTGAAAATGTCGAAGCCAGCTACACCGGTGACCCCGCCGCTCAAGGACGAATTGGACATCGTGATCCCGACGATCAGGAACCTCGATTTCCTCGAGATGTGGCGCCCCTTCTTCGAGCCCTACCACTTGATCATCGTCCAGGACGGCGATCCGGCCGAGACGATCAAGGTTCCCGAAGGCTTCGATTACGAGCTCTACAACAGGAACGACATCAACCGGATCCTCGGCCCCAAGGCCTCCTGCATCTCCTTCAAGGACTCAGCCTGCCGATGCTTCGGCTTTCTCGTCTCCAAGAAGAAGTACATCTTCACCATTGACGACGATTGCTTTGTGAGTCCATTTTAATTTGGAATTTATATTTACCGTTTCAGTTTCTTTTTCCTGAGTTGAATCGTTGAATTGGGGAGCGAGTCGCGGCTTGGATCTGTACGTCGATGGCTTTCCTTGTCGAGTTTCGTTCTGGGATCTGGAAAGCCAAAATCAACAGTGAGCGAGAATATGCATTTCTTTTGGTTTTATTTTATTTTTCTATTTGTGGGGGGGGTGGGTCGAGGTGGGGGCTTTCAATTGTCTAGATCGTGGTACATTGATTAAAGGTGGACCCTCATCTTGGATCGCGACACGTTGCACAAGTGTTGATTTTTGATCGGCAGGTGTCCGACAGACCTTTTGTCTTTTTCTTGGGGGACAAATTTTTGGTCTTGGTGGCCATGAAAAGTTTTTCAACACAAATCTAGTCTGCATCACTGTGAAATTTCACTATTTTGGACGTCCCATTTGATCTTGAATGTTAATCAAATCAGTATTGCATGAGTGCAGATGTTGTCTACTTTATTGATTGAGCTGGTGTCGGTAAACTTACCACTTTAGTGAAAATAGTTTAATGGTGGATTAATCATTGGATGTTGAGAAGTTGACTTGTGGAATCTGAATATTGTGAATTTCATTTCATTTTAAATCTAACAGTTTTCTTGCATAATAATTTGATAAGTTTGGACACTGTAAATGTATCACTTTTATATCCTACAACTGGAAATGAACATACAGGTTGCAAAAGATCCAAGTGGAAAAGATATCAATGCTTTGCAACAGCACATACAGAATCTGCTAACTCCGTCCACACCTTTCTTTTTCAACACATTGTACGACCCTTTCAGAGAGGGGGCCGATTACGTCCGTGGCTATCCATTTAGCTTGAGGGAAGGAGTCCCGACTGCCGTCTCTCATGGACTCTGGCTCAACATCCCTGATTATGACGCCCCAACTCAGCTTGTCAAACCCCTCGAGCGCAATACTAGGTTTGTCCCTAACTATTTTTATTCATGCCTTTTTCAGTATTTCATGAAAAAAAATTGAGGTTGACAGTCAATGTGATGTTTGATGCATAAACGACTCCAAAGCTACAAGTTCCATATGGTCTTCTTTTTCAAGTTGCACTCCTGATAATGGTGTAGTTCTTAATTTGTATGATGCCTTACCTTTTTCTTTTGTAAATAAATTAAACAGAAGTGCCATTTATGTAATTATATCTTTGTGCTTGTGTCGTTTAGTTGTTTATTTTTCTTGGTGATTTAATAAATGCTGCATGGCCATCTATCACATAGGTATGTAGATGCTGTCCTGACTATTCCTAAGGGGACCTTGTTCCCGATGTGCGGAATGAACCTTGCTTTTGACCGAGAGCTCATTGGGGCCGCTATGTACTTTGGGCTCATGGGTGATGGCCAGCCCATCGGGCGATACGATGATATGTGGGCGGGATGGTGCACTAAGGTGATTTCTTTTACCATCTTACTCAAACTATTAGATCCATAGAGTCCATCAATTTTAGATATGTCGTTCATTTTATTTTATTCGGATCAAGAAAAGTCAATACCTACTATCCAACAAGTTATTTGAAGTCCTACATTTGATTTTTTGATATAAAAATTGCAGGTGATCACGGACCACTTGGGTCTTGGAGTGAAAACAGGTCTGCCGTACATTTGGCACAGCAAGGCCAGCAACCCATTTGTGAATCTGAAGAAAGAATACAAAGGCATCTACTGGCAAGAGGAGATCATCCCCTTCTTCCAGTCAGTGACCCTCCCAAAGGAATGCACCACTGTGCAAAAATGCTACATTGAGCTCTCAAAGCAGGTTAAGGAGAAGCTTGGGTCTATCGACCCTTACTTCCAGAAGCTAGCTGATGCCATGGTCACTTGGATTGAAGCTTGGGATGAACTCAACTCCTCTGCTCCAGCAGCGGCTGCTGCTGCTGATGCCAAGGACGGGCCTTCCTCCAAAAAGAAGTAGATTTCTTTTGCTGAGACGCGATATTTATTTAACTTTTCCATACAATTCATATTTTGTTGAGCTCTAGGTTTTCTGTTCTGTTCGTTCTGTTTCTCTATATCAGTTATTTGGCTCAGGATATCTTCAAGTTATATTGCATCAGTTGGAACTTTTAGTTATAAGAAATAATATTCATGCATATGTCAGTTGACGAATAAAACTTTTATTCGGTGGTACATTTATGGTGCACTTGTTATTTCATTGTACTAGGCTCGACGAATTCTCTGTCTTCTAACTGATTTGTGAGGCCCAACCAGTTATTTTCTGGAAAATCAGATGATTACTACTGTGCTGACAAGCAAATGCATTACACAATTGTAGTTGGGGACTTTCTCAAAACAGATTCAACCTTTGACAAGAACCAGTTTATGTACTCCATTATAGCAGCCAGTGAACCAACCCAAATTCTGTAACACCTTCAAACTCTAACCAAATTTGACTAGTACAATATAAATCCAAGATTTTGCAAATATAACTAAGCACACACACCCACACACACACAAACACACACACACACACACACACACACACACACACAATAAAAACATTTGCTCAACTTTAAACCTAAGTTGGGACTAGGCCAAACTCATTCTGCCCCACAAATTTCCCACTGCAGCTCATCATAACAAGCCCAACAGTGACCAGAATCAACACAAAAGCAAACCACGCCATGGCTGACACGTAACCGCCCCTGCCCCTGCCCCTCTTGTCGGCCCCCACCACCCTCTCCTCCTCCACGACAACCACTTTCTCGACCGGAAAAGTACAAGTCATCCAGTCGAACTCCGACCAATCTATCTCTGGTGATGGTTCGTCTCCAAAGAGGCGCCTCCCCTTGAGCCTGCCGCTTGCCAAGGCGGCCCTTCTGTCCCGGAGTATCTCCCGGACCGCCCAAGAGCGGTCGGGAGGTGACTTCATGAGGCCTCTCGGGGGCGACAAGTGACGGGAATAGGTGAGGGCGCTGGTGGTCGTGGTGGTGGTGGTGTCTGCTTGGGGGCTCTGGGGCTGATTTCTTGGCCTGGAATTGTTTTTGAAGGAATTCCAGTCCTTTTCGAGGGTGTTAAACTGATGGATAAGCGCTGCGTACTTATTGGAAGGGTCTTTGGATTCGACTTTTGCTGTTGTTATACTGCTCATGTTTTTTACTTCCATTATTATTGCTATGGGCTTTTTCTTGGTTAAAAGGTTGATTCTTTAGTGCATGGTGGGGTTATGGAGGAGAAAAAACGAGAATATTGAGGGATTTTGAACTGCTCCCACGTCCTGTTTTTTCGCTACTTCAAATTCAAAATAATAATAGTAATAATATATATAATAATATAATAAAATCACAACTGCACTTAGTTTTTTTTTTTTTTTTT